CATCAGAATCTTTCTTTTCACAGTGCTTCAGGTACCCAACATCAACTTATTTGTCATGTCTGGTCTAGGTTAATATTTTCTATAATTCCGTTTCTGCTAATTTTGGATGATGAACCCATGTAAATTAGGATGGTTTTATCATATGGTCTAGTTTTAATTTTTTACTCCAATCTACGTTATCATTTCTACTCAACATTGGAAGAAATAGGCCTGTAGGTAACTAAAAAGTCTAGTTCAGAATTAGAGGTAACTACGAAGCAGCAACTCTGATTAAACTTTTCTCGTGAACAAAATAAACTATTAATCAAAGATTTAATAGAAATCATAAGAAGCAATTTTACACACATTACTTCATTTGAGCCTCACAAAAACCCTCGGAGGTAGCTAGAGCAGGTATCTACATTTTATTGATACTTTAACAGGTTCAGAGAGGATTTGTGACTTTCCCAAGGTCACACGGCTGGTAGAAACAGAACTAAAATTCAGATTTTTAAATTCCTATATTAGATTTATTGGCTCACTTATCTATTCTACAAAATTTTACTGAAAGTGCAAGTTTTACTTCTAAATGCCAAGTTCTCTGCCTTCTGGAGGCTTATAGTCAGTCTATGCTCACAACAGATAAGCATTTAGGAAGTGCATACAAAATCAGACAGCGCATGGAGTTAGGTATGATAAGAGTTGAAGACCCAGATCTCTGCCACTTTTCAAATACGGTGAGACTGTTTGGGCCTGATTTAGCAAGGAAGTAGAATGTATCCCTGTGCATCTGGGATGCAAAGTAGCTGCAGACCCAGGGCCTTTTCCATTCAAGGCAAATAGGTTAAGCAAGGGGTGAAAAGGCTCTTTGCTAGTAGGTTATAGGTTCCAACAAATTGTAGGTTTCCATACTAAGTGCGCCTTGCTAATACTTTCTGGATGTAATAACAACTTTTCCTAGAATTATTCGGTAACAAAGAGGCAAAATGATGCGTATTTGGAATTATATATGGTTTTGTACTTAGCTATCTCTTTGTTGGTATGTGAAGAAATACCCATTTGCATCCTTATTTAGCTTTCATATTTCACTTCAATCTCTAGGTTGGACAAAATGCTCCCGACTCAAGTTCAAAGGCGGCTGCAGGGATCACTGTTATCCACCAGACATACTTCTGAAAAGTTCTGCTCTGCTTCATATGCTAAATGATATTACACTGTCTTCTCCCTATTATTAATCAATATGGGCAGATTCTTACCAATTTTACACTCATATCTTCAGCAGAGACATTACAATTTAACAGTAATGCCAAGCCAATGAAGGCTTAGTTACCCTCATGCCACTGGTAGTGACTGAGTCATAAGCTTCTGAGATTCACTTTGTACTTCCACAAAAAAATGGGTATCATCTCATTCCATCAAATGAAAAGAGAAAATCTTCCCACGAAGCACTGTGAATGGATGGATCTATTGCTCCCTTCGAGAAAAGATTTAAACACAGCTTCCAAGAAAATGGGCAAAGCAGCCACGGTGGTACAGTTCACCAACTCCTCTATTATTCTCATAGCTGACTTCATGCTCAGTGGCACTCAAGTGGCTTAGGGTGGAGTTCCTGTATTCCCAGGCTGATAGTTAATAGAGTTTTATGATTTAGCCTCTGCCGCCACATGTAGCTATCAATACACTGGTGAAGAGAGCTTGACTCTAAGCATCCCATAAGTCCTCCTCAGAAGTCATCCCCAAGGGGCTTAGGGACTGCATACCAATAGGACCCAGATGAGGTCTCCCGATAATCCAGAGTTCCTAAAGTGGGTCTGTCATTATACTCTACCATCATAGTGAGCTGTATACATTTTGAACAAGGATGCCAGAGCAAAATGATTCTGATGATCTTTCTCACAGTGGCACAGCTATGTCAGGTCTGACTTGTTTAAGAATACAGTGAGAAAGTGGAAGGAGCTGATATTAAAGCAGCATTTAGGTAAGAAAGAGAATGGCAGGAGGGATAAGAGTGTTGTCCTGCTTTTTTTCATAAGAGGCTGAAACCATTCCATGCTGTTTTCGTGAAATGTGCCTGTTTCTAAATAATTCTGTTTTCTTGGTTCTCTGGTAAAAACCATATACGAATTGTATTCTTCTTTCTTTCAAGTTGTCCAAAAAAGTGATTCTCAAAACTATACCAACAGGGGAATATCTCTCGCCCTAAACTCTGATTTAATATTCAAGCTCGGCCTGGAAGAGATGGAGCAGTACAAAGCACAGATGATGATAGTTTTCAAGGAAGCCCTGGAGATCTTCTAGGTATCCTAAAGTTCCATAGAGATTTGAAATATAGTAGATGAAGAAGATAGAGCACTGATGATTTTTGGATAAATAAGTATAATATTTGCACCCTTCCACTGATTCCCAATTTACATCCAGTTTATCCTGCCATCTGTGGTTCAGTGTGACCATGAAATGGGGCGGGGGGCGGGGGACGGGAGGTGCGTGGGGAGAAGCTTGCTCCTTCCCAAGACTGTTAGGGAGAATTATTAAAAGCATTCTATACTTAGAAGCTCTTGGTCTAGTGCTGATGCCTACATTCATCCCCACCCTTCCCAGCCTCATTATAATGTCCTTTAACCCAGAAACATGATATTTCCTAGGAGATAAAAACTGGGGCAAAGTCTACATGCATTAACTCTTCTGCGAGAATATAATTTGGGTGACATTTACAGTGACTTTCTTTACAAAAATTGACTGATGGGATCAAAACTGTTTATTTTGCTTTGGGGACAACTTATTCCCCCTGACAAAGCAAGGTCCCTCTGAGGATTTTCTGACTCCTTAATCAGTTAACCATTTTAAATTCTATATTCTCTTACCAGTGGAGATCTTTGAAAACTAGGAGATGAGACAGACAGCAAAAGGGAAAGGAGAACTCCCATGTGGACTTTAGGATGAGCCCTTTAAGATCTGCAGAGCACTTCACAGCAAGGCACAATTCTCCTTGTTACCACTATAGAATAAGTTACAGTCTCAACCTGATAAAACAATGTTTCTGTAGAGTGCCAATCATTCCTCTGGGAAGTGACTAGTCAGTAAGGTTTTTATTACAAATTCTTTCTCATTAAGTTACCATACTTTGTTTTTTGATTATTAAAGTACATTCTCATTATAACAACTTTTAGAAAATACTGAAAAATATAAAGAATAAAAAAAGAAAAAAATGTTACACCTAATCCTTCTTCTCAGAGATAACTATTGTTAACATTTTGATGCATCTCTTTTTAGATATCACACTATTCTAAACTTGTATCCCTTCTTTTGGCTAACATATTACTACCATATTTTCAGTTAACACAAGTATTAAGTGCATTTTTTCCAAGTCTTAACGTAGAGAGGACTGGAAGTCATTCCACATTTTCTAAGGGTCTAAGTCACCCCAATACATTTTGATGGGTACAAAGATTAAGGTAGGTGGTTGCTTAGGGCAGAGAAGGCGCATTCACAGAAACATCCAATTTAAACTTTTGAAGGTACTGCAGAATGACATTATTAGTTGTATTTGTATGTATGCTAAAGCATGGCTTTGTTCAATAGAAACATTTAAAATATACAACAATTTTATATCTGTTTCGGCATTTCTTCACTTTTTAGATATACCTGTGTTCATAAAAAATCAAAGTGACCTAGGACTCTCTAGACCTCTCAAAGGCCTAAGCAGGCTATTAGCATCCCTCCTTTTCTGCATACTCAGGCTAGTGCAAGGGGTTAACCAATCACAGAGAAACTTAACGGTGGTTCTAGCCCTAGTCATTCTTCCCCTCCCCTCACGTCTTGTTTTGGAGCCTTTAAGCATTATCCAGCGATTTTGACCTAAAGCAATTTCTCTATGTTTATGTCTAGAACTGGCCATTTTCCAAGGAAGATTTGCTATATATACTAATAATTAGAGGCTAGGAACCCTTTTTTTTTTTTTTTTGCCCTGGGGAGGTTGACAGTCTTATAGGCGCTCCTTTCCTCACATTCTGATCTTCTGCTCCTGCCTGCACTCCTTTTCCCCACTTTCAGAAAGGATTCCATTTTCGAGTTCATACAATGGCTCTCATGTTGCCATGAGTTGCCCTTTACCTTTTTATGTATACTTCCTAGTTCTTGTGCTTGAAGCCTGTAGGGTCTTCTGGACTTCTACATTTGTATGTCTCTATATTACTTGTATCCAATAAAGCATTATGTTCATAGACATTCAAAAAATGTGTTGATAATGTTACATCACTAAATAGGTAGCTGAGGTATCATTACTGACTTTCTAGAAGAAAATTAAGTAACTTTTATTTTTATATCAATGCTGCTATTGGTTACCAGGTGGCTACAAACCAATGAAGGGCCATCCTGTAATTGTTGGTAACATCTGAATTCATCTCTTTAGACTTATGTGCTTTTCTCTCACATTTCTTTATCTCTTCATCTTTCTCTTCTTGCTCTTTATTCCAACACTTTTTTTTCCTTTCCCTCTATATCTTTCTCTTATTCAGTGACCTGAATTGCCAGTCATCTAATATTAAAGATTTCTCTTAATTTGTATTCCTATGGAACTTATTTTCACGTCTATACTCGTTTCAGGCCCCCAAAGCCTTTTTTCTTCTACCTAACCCTCTTTCACCTGATGCAGTGCAGCAAGTATATGCACCTTGGGCTGTAACTAATACTCATTCACTAGACTCTTGTGATCTTGTGAATTTGCGCCATCCAGTGGCTGAAGTTGCTAACTTCATCCTCTGAAAAAAGCAGTGGGCATAAAAAATTAAACATAAAATAAACAAATGAGAAATGAGAAGCCCGTATTACTGCTCCCAAGGAAGAAAAACTATTCACAATAGCCAAATTTTGTCTTATTTTAAGTTCTGTTTTCTAAAACTTATTAAAATAGGATGGAGAAGGATATGTTTAGAGGTATATAGCATCATGGTTTCCATGGAATAAGATGAAGTCCAGAAGACTCTCCAAGGATTTAATCAAGTCACTATTGCTCCCTACTGCACTGAAAAAGAATAAACAGTGCAGGCTATAGGGTAAAAAATCCTTATTGACTTGTAGAAGAATCAAACATTCAACAAAAGAGACACTGAATTTGAGGACTTATAAACTATATACACAATAAGATCAGATAGCAGTTAAACTTATTTCTTCTACAATGAAATTTCTTGGACATGTCTATGTCGAGGACATATGCCAAGGAGAATTCATGGGTTGTAGGAAAAATACATCCTTCAACTTTGCTATTGCATATGGTTCTCTGAGGAGGTTGTACCAAATATTCTCCCCAGCAGTAAAGTCCCTATTATTCCACACAGACAAATGTTTGCCAATCTGATGGCTATGAATTAGTATGTAATTGTTCTTATGTGCATTTTCCCGCTTAATAGTGAGGTTGAGCATCTTTCCATATGCTTATTTGCTTCATATTTTCTCATGCTTGCTTATAACCTCTCCCTCTTTTTATATTGAGTTAAGTCTTTTTAATTAAGTTGTAGAGTCTTGTATTCCTGGTGATACAGTCGGATCTCCGTATTTGCATGTTCTACATCCACATATTCAACCAATCTTGGATTGAAAATATTTTTTAAAAAGTTACATTATTGCTGACATGTACTATGTAGTTAGGCCCACAATGGTTGCATTTGTACAGATCATGTACAGATTTTGAAAAATCATTCCCTAAACAAAACAGTACAACAACTATTTATATAGCATTTATACTGTATTAGGTATTATAAATAATCTAGGGATGATCTAAAGTATACAAGAGGATATGTGTAGGTTATATACAAATAGTACATCATTTCACATAAGGGACTTGAGCATCCTCGGATTTTGGTATCCAAGGGGTATCCTGGAACTAATCTGCAGATACCAAGAGGCAAGTGTATTATTATCTACAATTAATGATAAACGGCTTAAAATTAATTTACCAGGAAGAAAGATCAGTTTGGAGTGAAAGGATTTCTTTGAAAGTATCCATATGGGAATCAGATTATTTCCTTTCTAGTTAGGAAGAAGGGAGCTAGAAAGCTAGAAGGGTAAATGGTGATACATGGCCGAGAGAAGGCCAAACAAATTTCCCTGATGTGATATTGCTCTAGCACACCAACTATCTGCTTTGCCCAAGTTCATCTTCCCTGTGTTTAGACAAATAAAAATGTTGTGCAAAGGCATTTTATGGCTTACTCTGGAGAGCTCAGTGATTTTCAGTGGAAAATATACTCAGGAGTTTAGATATTGCTGCATGATGAAATTCTTTTCAACACCATGGAGTCATTAAAAATGCCTAGGAAGACAATATCTAAATAAATCATTCTGAAATTGTACCTGTGCATTACTTAGGTGGTTTGATTTCAGAATAAGACCATGACAGTTACTGGTAGTATTTTGAGAGACTTTTTTTTCCTTCCTGCCATAAAGAATTGAATAGGGTTGGAACATGCTAACTACCCAGCTACTTTATTTTTTCATGTATGTGTCAGCAAAGCAGAGTTCTTCAAAATAGGAGTCCCTGAAGTCCGAAGAAATATGTTTTTTGTGGGACTTTTAGACATAAGTGTCAAAAGCTTTTTAAATGAAGCCATAGAAGGCAAAATGAAAATAGATTCTTGGAGCCAAATGAGACTCCGAAAGCTTCAGAGCCTGAGAGTTGTTTATTTACGGGTAAATCTGCATGTTGAAGAATATTATATTAGAAATACACTTTAGGTCTACGGCCATGCCACCCTGAATGGACCAGATCTCGTCTGATCTTGGAAGCTAATCAGGTTTGGTCCTGGTTAGTACTTGGATGGGAGACCACCTAGGAATACCAGCTGCTGTAGGCGTTAAAAAAAAATTTTTTTTAAGTATAAAATTTTTTTTTTTTTTTAAAGAAATACACTTTAGATTGCAACATGTTTCACAAACAAAGGATTAGTATTCAGGAATATGGTAGTCTCCAATTACCCATGGAGGACCCCCAGCGGATCACTGAACCCACAGATAATACTGAACCCTACATACATACAATTTTTTTCCTGTACATAAACACCTATGATAAAGTTTAATTTAGAAATTAGGTAAGAGATTAACAATAACTAATAATAAAATAGAACAATTATAACAATATACTATAATAAGAGTTATGTGACTATGTTGTCTCTCTCCCCCGACACCTCGGATATGCTGGACAAAGGGATGATTCATTCATGTTGCAGGAGACACAGAGTGAGGTGCAATTTAAAACTTATGAATTGTTTATTTTCACAGTGTGCAATTTAAAACTTATGAATTGTTTATTTCTGAATTTTTTTCCTGAAATATTTTGGGCCACAGTTGATTGCAGGTAACTGAAACCATGAAAAATAAAACTTCAGATAAGCAGGACTAATATACATATTCTGATATTCTGTATTTCCC